CCTCAGATTGAATGTGTGTTTTTAAAGTTGCATTAGGTCATTGTGTTGAATAAGGTAGAGTATGATAAGTATCTATTTTGTTTTGTTTTGTTGGTACCAAGAATCGAACTCAGGACCTTGTGCTTGCCAGGCAGGCACTATACTGCTGTGCTGTATTTCCAGCCTGATCAATATGTGCTTGTTTTTTTTAGGATCGTGCTTTGGATTACCTGAGTACTTGTATTGATCAAGTTCAAACTTTTGGAGACATTCTGCAATTGGTTATTGTGGAACTAATTTATAAGGTAAGTGGTAATTTATGGTGAGTAAACTTAAGTTTAGGTCAAGGCTAAGTAGTGTTTTTCTGAAGTGCTACCTAATTGCTATGATAATATATTTTATACTTGATTTTAGCGAAAAGGCAGAGAAATGATATTTTAATAATAGAAATGTTTTGCAACATAGCCCGATTAAAGACTTTTTTCCTTGGCTTATTTTATTTTCCAGTTACTTTGTTCCATCCTTTGCTTTATCCTTTTCTCAAGCAGTCCTTGTGTATTGGCAGCACCTTAATTTGCTATATCTTTTCAAAGGATTGAGTTTATCTTAATGTTCTGATAAATAAAAGGTGTGATGACTTCCAATTTCTCTGTGGCTAACAGAGTATAGTTGTCTTTGTTGTTTGTTTGTTTGTTTGTTTGTTTTTTGGTGGAACTGGGGATTGAGCTCAGGCCCTTGCACTTGCCAGGGAAGTGCTTATTCTACTGAGCCATCTCCCGGCCCTTATAGTTGTCTTTGGAGGAAAGAAGATTCCTCCTAACATAGGATACTAGTGATTTATAAGCAGCATTTAAAGGGAAACAAGGCTTGTAAATGTATGGCTCCCTTCTGTGTATGTATGCTGTGTGTCCCTGGCACCTGATGACTTTGTTCTTAGGATCTAAATTATATTAGAAGGGGTAGTTTATACATGTCCAAGTAGTAGAGATTTGGCTGTGTGTATTTTAGGAAAATGCAATATGGCATTATTTAGAAGAAAAAAATAAGGACTATTTGTTTCATAAATAATCAAGATGTATTTAAAACAGGATAAAAGTCTTTAGTTTCTGCTGTAGTAATGCATATCAAAAATAATAGAAAATGCTAACTGATTTTTTTTTTTTTTTTGAGACATGGTCTTGTCAGGCAGTTCAGGTTGACCTTGAACTCACTATAGAGCCCATACTGGCCTCAAACTTGGAGCAATCTTCCTGACTCAGCCTCCTGGGTGCTAGAATTACAGGTGTGCATCACAACACCTGGCAGGAAATAATAATTGAAAAAAATTTTCATTTATCATTCTTGTTTGAAGAACTGTTATTTTCTTCTATCAACTATGTTAATATCATCTATGTTTTACTTTTTTTTAACCATTTATTCACTTATTTATTTGGTATAGGGTCTACCTGTGCAGCTCAGACTTGTAGTGATCCTCCTGTCTCAGCCTCCCCAACACTGGGATTACAGGCTTGTACCACCACACCCAAAACACTGTGTGCCTGGACTCTGGGGCCAGCACAGCATACAGTACTGGGGATCGAACCTGGGTTCTTGTGCTTGCCGAGCAGGCACTTAGACCACAAGCTATCACCCTAGGCTATGTTTTACTTTTTGATGTGGCATCTAGAATAAAAATAT